ATTACCTTCAAGTTCTGGTGCTTCTTGTTTCAAAAATGACCATATAGCATCGCAAAGAGCCATTGTACGCGATAAGGAGAGCGCAAACGAAACAGATATTCCCTGAAACATTGAAATTTTTTTAAATTAAATATTATTTTTTTATATAAGTTTTAAAATTTTTTTAAATGCAAGTTTTGAAATTTTTTTAAATTTGACTTACAACATCCATCCGAAGCATATGTATAATCGGGAGTTGCGATATGTCTAGAATTTTGTCTGGTATACTCTGTAAAAAAAAGGGTAGAAGTACCGTTTTTGGCCAGTTAACATTTTAATTAATCTATAAAAAATTATAATATTATAACCATATTATGGTTGAGTTTTAAAAAATTTATATTAAAACAAATTGAGTTTGGAATGGTTTATTAATATAAATTCATTTCTATCGTTTATTTAAACAATAAATGGCCATAAGTGGTGTAGTGGCCACAAATGGTACTTCTACCCTAATAAAATTTTTATTTTAAATATTTGAATCAATTCCCTTTTCAATAAAATAAATTGAAAAAATATAAAAATAAATAAATAAAAATTTTTTTAAGTTCTTACTTTGAAAGTTCTATCAATGTGAAGTTCAATAGCATTATTTATACGGCTTAACATTTGTCGATTAGCAAATATAATAGCAATCTTCACCTTGCACTTCACCTCTAAAAATTGGTTCAACAGCTGGATACCCAGCAAATGTGTTATTTAACTCATGAATACTTTGTGGAATTTGGTGACGATGTCGACGACGCTCTCTAATAATGTGCATACGCCCTGTAGCTGGTCGCATTAAATATGCTATATCCTCGAATCTAAAGATAATTTTTTTTGTTTTTAAAATATGTATTAACAAATTTTTTTAAGGCAGTTGGGCCCAAAAAGCAAAAAATCTCCCAAACTCCGTATATAAGTATTTAAATACATAGTACACACGCTGTTAAAATTTAGGAACGATTTAGCACGTCCAACCGAAGATAATTGCAATCGAAAATGACATTTTTACATAGGCGGTATGGGAAAAGAGAGAGAAAACCGCGAAGATTTATTATTTTTGTATTGAAGAAATTTTAAGAATTTCACGAAAAACTAATATTACTTATATTAATACATGTACAATTACCCTACAAAATTCTGAAATTCTCTACCACATAGTTTTTGAGAAATCATTGATAAACTAGTAAAGTGAACAAATAAAGTCATGCGTCGAAGTAAGTGAGCGATAGCCTGTAAGAGAGGCGACACTAGCGAATGAAAAAGACAGAAATAGCATAAACTATAGGTTGGAAAAGAACTACCTCAATATTTGCATTTTTCAAAAAAGAAAATCTACAAAATATGAACATTAAATTCACCTCACTTATTATGTAATTAATACGATGTAAAAATAATTAAAATAGTTTATTAATTCTATTAACATAAGGTTGATAACAAACCTTGCAGAAACATCATTGAAAATTTGATCAGGGCTTGCTTTACTTAACAATGCTTGACGTCTTAATGCCACGATCATTTCCTGACGCCTTACTTCTTGGAGTGAATGGTGTGGTGCATGTTCATGTGTCCCATAAATGACAATATCATCGTGCGGACTAATTAAAGCAGTGACCCGACATTGCCATCGGGACGTACGATATGAACAAACGTATTTTTCTGAAGCATTATCATATCTACTGTCATGGTGGTAAACGTGGCCATCATGAATAAAACGCACAGTACCCTCCCTTTGACCAGGAACCTGCTGCATTTTCCTATTCGAAAAAGACATTTAACAATTTTTAGAATTTTTTTAACAAATAAATTATGGCAAAAAAATTGGGAAAAAACAATTGACCCGTAGAAATTGAAAAAAATTAAAACTGCAATTTAAAAAAAAAATTTTTTTTGTTAAATAAAATTAAAAAATTGTTAAGACTGCTAACTTTAATATCATACAATTTTATTGTGTAATTTAAAAAAAAAAAAATTTTTGTCACAAAAATTAAGAGATACAGAATCTAAATTTTTATGTGATTTTTAACAAGCTGTTACTCGGCAAAAAATAATCGAAAAAAAAGGAAAAAAAAAAAGATAAATATGACAATATTTAAGGATATTTGAATAACTTTGGATTGAATACATAAACAAAGGATGATATCGTTGATAATTTTTTAACCTTAAAGTGTCCCGAAAAATCCTGAGAATTTATAACAGCTATCATTTTTTTTTCCTACTACGCCAGAGCTTCAAATTTATTCTTTTTATCAAAAAATAATACTTTGGACAATTTTTCAATTTTTATTCATTTTTTTTCAATAAAGAAAATTTTTTTTCCAGCAATAACTTCAATTTCTTCGATTGACAAAATTATAATTGTTACAAAATATTATTATTGTTATTATTTATTTGTCATGGCGATGGGAATTACAGTTCTAGCACCATCGTTTTTGTGGAATTGTAACAGGGTAATTTACCCTATATCGGTAAAATCGATCAGACGTTGGTAACTATTCGACGCAGCACTGGCGCGTCTTGGTCTTCGGGACCCTATAAGTGGGGGTAATTTTGGAGGTTACTTGACTAGTCACTCAGCGGCAGTGAAACAGAAGTAGTTTAGTGCTCAAGCTAGTAACACCCAAAAGGCCAAAGAAGGAAGCCCGTTGGATCCAGGGAATTCTTCAAGTAAAATTTACACCAGGTATTAAGACTTTTATATAGATGAGCCGCGTGGTCAAATAATCGGCTCATCTAATTACTACTTCTCATTTTTAATTCATTATTTTGATAATTCAATTGTCGAGTAATAATTTATTTAATAATAATTATACAATTATTTAACTGTAATTCAATTTGGTCCATTAGTTGATGTTGAGCGTTCCTCTTGGGGGTTTATACCCGAGGAATGTTCAAGGCCTTGTGGTTTGAACAGTCGTGAGAATTTATTTATTAATTTGGCAGATTAATAATTATTAATATCGAAAGATTGGTTTAGATAAAATTATTTTTTATTAATAAAATAAACCAGGAATTTTAAACATCGTAGTCTAGTTAACAAGTGCCTTTTTGGTCAACTTTTTTCAGCAGTCTCCGAAAATTATGATTGAGGTGTCATTCGATTCAGAATGGAATCTAGATTGTCTTCGAAAAACAATGAAATTCCGCAAGTAAAAATTACGAAAGTTATTAACAATTAACTAAAAAAAAGGGGGGGTTTAGTTTTTTGCAAATATCTCATAAACTAATAAAGGTTTTTCAAATTTGAAAAAAGATTCAAAAAGAGGAGAAAATTTCCTACAAAAAGTTTTGACTCCCGGAATTGTAAGACTAATATTAATAATTTTCCCAGAGAGTTGAAAATACGCCCGAAAACGGGTACTCTTGCTTCCGCAAGCCACGCCCCCTTCGGACCTTTAATGAATAAATATTATTTAAACTTATTAAATATGAAAATTAAAAATTGAGAAAATTCAGGTGCCTTCAGGACAGATCAATGAACAATAATCCGTGGTCAAAAAATTTTTATCGCGATTTTTCAATAAGTTATCCATTAATTAATTAACAATTTTTTGTAGCACGAACATTAACATTGCAAGTGCGATAATTGTTAAACTATTAATCTAAGAAATTTTTCCGTTCGTGGAGCTATTTTTCAAAGGTCTTAGAATAGATTCCTGTTGGAAAAATTGAAAAATTGTTAATTTTCATTTTGTTATTAACAATTTACTAAGGTGAAAAATTATAAAGCTTTATTAAGCATTGAAAAAAATTTTTTTTTATAATATTATTATTGATCCGTTTTCTTATGATCAGAAGCTACACGCTGAGAAATTTCCAATGAATTTTACTATGGGCGCATAGTAACACTGAACTATAAGAAAACTGGTACAAAATTTACAAGTTCCCATAGGAAACAGTATGCGCAGAAACACGATTGTGTAGTCTGCGCATACCGTTTACTATGGGAACTTGTAAATTTTGTACCAGTTTTCTTATAGTTCGTGTTTACTATGCGCCCATAGTAAAATTCATTGAAAATTTCTCACCGTGTACTTAAAAATGATTTTTAATTATTTTTATCTCTTATTGTTCAAAAAATTGTTATAAACAAAAGCGTTGTTTATGAGATAATTAAAAATTTTTTTTTGATAACTTAATCTTTGATAATAATTATGATTTAAAAAAAAAAAACCGTTTCTTAAAAAATTTTTTTATTGCTTAAAAACGCATTTATTAAATAACAATTTTTTTACCACTTATTATGAAAATTAAGTAACCATTTTTTTTTTAATTATTATTTCTCTTGGTCTTTGATATTAAAAAAAAAGATTCGATTATTAATTAAATTTTCATTGTTTTCTTAATAAACAATTTGTTATAAACGAATTAATTATCTTTTTGTATTTTTTTTCTTTTTCTACTTAAAAAAACGAGAACAACCATGTAGAATTTTTTGAAAAAAAAAAATTTATTTATATTTTTTATTGAACTTTCAATTTTCTGTTATAATTTAATTTCACCACTCTGACCTGGTTTTTTTGTTTAATTTTATTATAACTTGTTAACTAATGAAGATACAAAGAAAAAATTTAATACTTACTGATTCTTTATTAATTAAACAACAAATTAAGCCAAAGTTTGAAGCTATGACTCAATTATTTATTTCATTTATACTATTTGTTGATAAAAAAAATCTTTCAGAAAATGTTTTTTCCCACTTTTATGTCTTAATATCTTATAAACTAATTTAACTATCAACTCACAACTTTTGTAGGGACGCATGCGCGCAAGCTAAACGAGTAACACTGCAAAAACTTTGGTCTCGTGTTTTTTTTGTATTTAAATATTGTTTATCCTTCGTGAAATTATATATACGAACACAATTTTCAATAAAATAGTGCCAGAAATATGTTCTAAAATAAAACCGGTGCTAAAGGTGTCTTAATAGTGTATGTCGAGTCACGTTAACATGTGGAGTTGAAGGAGGTTATGTTGACATGTCGTCAAGCCCAGATCACGGTGATATAGCCTCTGTAGCCGACAAAACTCCAAGTCAAAAATCTACTACACAGTCATACCTACCACTCTCGTTAGCTCCAAAGAAAGCCACCAAGAAAGGCAGGCCATCTTTAGCTGATCTGAGACTGAGAGAACGAGCGTTATCAATAGGCGATATTGGTGAGTTATTGACGGGACGTAAAAGAACCAGAGATACTCCAGGTTCCAACCAGAACCTAGACGACGACACATACCCACAGAAATATTTAAAACGTAGCAGCTCTTCTCCTTCGCTATCTCCAGTCGAGAAAGAAATGTCTAACAACAACACAGAATCACTCGAACAGTTGCCAGTGCCAGAAGCACCAAATTTCGCCGAAATTTCAAATCAAGATGCATTTAAATGGATGGCGGATCAATTCGTAGCGTTGTTTAGAACCAATCAAGCACAATTCACGCACGTGAAGAAACTTATTAATAATTCCTCCACCTCAGTGGTCACACAACTCCAAACTCTAGGAGACAAGTTCGTAGGCATCGTTGAAGAAGTACATAACTTGAAAAAACAACAAATTGAAATCAATCAACGTCTTAAGGAGGTTGAATCTGGTAAGTGCTGCTCCAATCAAAATTTTAATAACGAAAATTTAACGCTTATCGCTTCCAGAATTGAAGAACTTGAAAAAGTCACTGCCCCCAACTCTCTCAACCAAATGAAAGGCGAAATAAAATGCCAACTAGATAAGTTAACGAAGATCATTGAAACCCAAAAAAGCATGGCCCGCAGACAGAACATCATAATCAACGGCTTCGAGTCCACGAACACACCTGAAGATATAGCCAATTTCTTGGCAAATACTTTTAGCATACCGAAAGAAGACTGTAAAAACATAAAACAAAGTGGTAAAACAAAAGACTGTTTTGTCGTACATTTTGAAAAGCCGGAGCACAAAGCTTTGATTATGCGTACTAAAAAAGTCAAATTAAGTACGCTAAACATCTTTATCAGCAACGATCTTACCCCAATAGAAAGCCAGAAGGCCTTTGAAATAAGGAAGAAATTGAAAGAAGAAAAAGAAAAAGGCAACAATCCAAAGGTAAGAGCCAACAAAATATTACTGGATGGAAAAAATCTCATATGGGATAGATATAATAAAGTCTGGCTCGAAGAATCCAATCATCTCTCGCGAAAACATATAAACAAAAGACAAGATCCAAAAAACTACTAAAGAAAGGGGAAGGGGAAGGGGAAGGGGAAGGGGAGGGGGAAGGGGAAGGGGAGGGGAATACAACAGCCAACGTCTTGAGGTTCTGGAACTGCCACGGAGCTTCAAACTGCGCAAACATAGTTATATACAATGAAACAACCTACGTAGGAATATCCGAAACATGGCTAACAACACCTCCATTTCAACAGCCAGCATGGTCCAGAGAATTTAATTGTATATGGGCAAACGCGACAAAACAAGCCAACAAAGGTAGAGGCAGCGGGGGTCTGGTAGTAATGATCAGGGAAAAACTAAATTTTATCATCATAGAAGTCTCAAACCGCTGGATCTTCATCTTAACGGAGACATCATTTCGAAGAGTTATTGTAGGATTGCTTTACTTCAACCCAGACAGCGATCTAAGTGACTCTTTAGAAAACTTACAACTAATCTTGGACAGATGTGAAACTCAATATCCAAACACTCCAATTATCCTAGGGGGAGACACCAACGCAAGGTTGGGAGAAAAAGACGGTGGTTTTCCACCAGAAGCATTATACGATACAAATCTACTAACCACAAGAACCTCCCAAGACAAACTCATATCAACACGTGGATTAACCTTGTTAAACTTCATGTCCAGCAACGGCCTCTTCCTTCTCAACGGCAGAACACAGGGCGATGCTGAGGGCAAAATTACATACTACGGCTCGAGTGGAACTAGTGTAATTGACCTTATGTCGACAAATCACGATGGAGCGAAAGAAATCAGCTCCCTCCAAGTTGGAGATGACTCCTATGAATCTGATTACTTTCCTATCAATATTAAGCTCCGTCCTGACATCAGACAGACAAATACCACCTCAACAGCACAACACATCGCAGTTAAGACTCTTATGGAATGACAGCCTCGCTTATCAATTCACAGACTTTCTTTACCACTCTCAACGTCTAATAATGCCTAACGATAACACAGATGTCGACTTTATGGCTCAAAATCTCCAGGAAGCAATCTATGAAGCTACCAATAACGCAGGGTTGATGAAATATAGGGGAAAAAAACTAACAAAGTACCCAGGAAACCCTGGGAGGATACAAACCTACTCGCGATAAAAGCTAGCTTAGTCAGACATCAAAAGTACTGCAGGAAAACGAGCTTCACTCTAGTAAACCTAGAAATACTCCGAAGTTTAAAAAAAGCACTTAAGAAAACCAGAAAACAGAATATTGAAAGGTATTACCAAAACATCAGAGATACGCTTGCCCGCACTAACAAACCTGCCGACTTCTGGTAACTAGTGAGAAGACTAAGACGACCTACACCTCCACCATGTCCAATATCCATGAACGTCTAGGAAAATTTTTATGATAAAGTCTTTCCCGCTAAATTAATAGACCACACGAACTATATCGATGCTCGACATCCCTACTTAGACCAGGAATTTTCCTACTCGGAAATCAAGAGAGCAATCCAAAGATGCAAGAAGAACAAGGCTCCTGGGCCTGACGCAATCCTGAATGAGCATCTCCAACACCTCCCCCCGCCGTGGATAAAATACATCACGACTCTGATGAACATGATCTGGTCCTCACATAGGATACCTTCAGGCTGGCCCTCAGCGCTGTTAACAGTCATCCACAAGAAAGGTGCCAGAGATGATCCTTCCAACTATAGAGGAATTGCCTTGATCAACAATATACTCAAGATCCTTACCAACCTGATTCAAAGAAGGCTCTACAGCTGGACAGAAGACATTAAACTGATTCCTGATGAACAAGCTGGCTTCAGAAGAAGCCGTAGCTGCCTGGACAACTCCTTCACCATCTTTACTGCCTTACAATCGAAGATAAGACTCGAAGGAAGTGTATACTACTGTATACTCATAGACTTCAGCAGAGCATTCGACTCGGTACCTCACCACCTCTTGTGGGCAAAACTGTTCAAATTAGGAATCAGCGGAAAAATCATCAGAACTGTTCAGGCCATTTACGAAAAAGTTAACATCCAGCTCAAGATAAACGGAGAGAACTTCAAACCCTTTGACGTCACCGAAGGAGTGCTCCAGGGTGGTAAACTCAGCCCGACACTATTCATCTTGTATATAGAAGACCTAATCGACTTCCTTGACTCCAAAGGTATCCAAGGCATTAATATTGGGCTAAATTACCTACGGACGCTTCTCTTCGCAGATGACGCGGTGTTCTTTGCAGGCTCTATTAAAGAAGTCAAAAAAACCCTCTGCTGCCTAGAAGAATACTTTGAGGCAAATAAACTCAAAGTACACACTGAAAAAACACAAATCCTGGTTTGCCGCTCGTCAGGAAGAATCAGGAAAAAAGAAAAAGATACGTTCCAATACAACGATCAACCTATAAAATCAGTTTCACAATATAACCACCTGGGAACTATCATAGACAGTGGGGTGAAGGGCAAATTTGCAGCAAATGAGGCAGCCAACAAAGCCAAAGTTGCAACAGGCACCGCACTCTCCATTCTTGCAAAAGCAAAAGCTGATTCCTGGCAAGCAAGAGTAAAGATCTTCAACAGTCTGGTGGCTCCAACTATGCTATACGGGGCCGAAATCTGGGGACTTGACTACTTGGAACTTATAGACAAAACACAAACGGATTATTATAAGAAAATCCTTCAACTACCGCGCAATACTCCTGGATACATGATTCGCTTGGAGACGGGAATCACACACCTTTCGATAACAACGCTGAAGCAAACATGGAGATAGGTAGTAAAAATACTCAAGATGGAAGATCATCGTTGGCCGAAAAGATGTCTTCTCAACCTGTGCAACCTACTACAAAATCCTGAATGCCAGAAAAGAAAATTTTTTCTCAAAGTTTATTAGCCTAAGCATCTTACTAACTAATAATTTATGAGAAATGTTATTGAATTTAAGTAAGTTTATGTATAAAATATCGTTCGCAAATAATATAAGGTGTTTTTTAAATTATATTTTACAGTCGATAGTTAAATTAATTTAAAAACATTTTCTGAAAGATTTTTTTTATCAACAAATAGTATAAATGAAATAAATAATTGAGTCAGAGCGTCAAACTTTGGCTTAATTTGTTGTTTAATTAATAAGGAATCAATAAGTCTTGAATTTTTTCTTTGTATCTTCATTAGTTAACAAGTTATAATAAAATTAAACATAAAAAACCAGGTCAGAGTGGTGAAATTGAATATAACAGAAAATTGAAAGTTCAATAAAAAATATAAATAAATTTTTTTTTCAAAAAATTATACATGGTTGTTTTCGTTTTTTTGAGTAGAAAAAGAAAAAGAATACAAAGAGATAATTAATTCGTTTATAACAAATTGTTTATTAAGTAAACAATGAAAATTTAATTAATAATTGAATCTTTTTTTTTAATATCAAAGACTAAGAGAAATAATGATTTAAAAAAAAAATGGTTTCTTAAATTTCATAATAAGTGGTAAAAAAAATTGTTATTTAACAAATGCGTTTTTAAGCAAAAAAAAAATTTTTTTAAGAAACGGTTTTTTTTTTAAAATCATAATTATTATCAAAGATTAAGTTATCAAAAAAAAATTTTTAATTATCTCATAAACAACGCATTTGTTTATAATAATTTTTTAAACAATAAGAGATAAAAATTATTAAAAATCATTTTTAAGTAACTTCTGATCATAAGAAAACGGACCAATAATAATATTATGAAAAGAAAATTTTTTTCAGTGTTTAATAAAGCTTTATAATTTTTCACCTTAGTAAATTGTTAATAACAAAATAAAAATTAACAATTTTTTAATTTTTCCAACAGGAATCTATTCTAAGACCTTTGAAAAATAGCTCCACGAAAAAAAAAATTCTTAGATTAATAGTTTAACAATTATCGCACTTGCAATGTTAATGCTCGTGCTACAAAAAATTGTTAATTAATTAATGGATAACTTATTGAAAAATCGCGATAAAAATTTTTTGATCACGGATTATTATTCATTGATCTGTCCTGAAAGCACCTGAATTTTTTCAATTTTTAATTTTCATATTTAATAAGTTTAAATAATATTTATTCATTAAAGGTCCGAAGGGGACGTGGCTTGCGGAAGCAAGAGTACCCGTTTTCGGGTGTATTTTCTACTCTCTGAGAAAATTATTAATATTAGTCTTACAATTCCAGGAGTTGAAAATTTTTTTAGGAAATTTCTTCCTCTTTTTGAATCTTTTTTCAAATATACAAAACCTTTATTAGTTTATGAGATACTTGCAGAAAAGTAAACCCCCCCTTTTTTTTAGTTAATTGTTAGTAACTTTTGTAATTTTTACTTACGGAACTTCATTGTTTTTCGAAAACAACCTAGATTCCATTCTGAATCGAATGACACCTCAATCATAATTTTCGGAGACTGCTAAAAAAAGTTGACCAAAAAGGCACTTGTTAACTGGACTATCGAGAAAATTTCAATCATCAGCTCACGGATCGTTCAAGCGTCGGTCATATACCCGAGGTCAAAGCTTACTACGCACTTACGAATGCCGGCGTCCATTTTGAGCGCGCGAATTCCTGGCAATTATATTACGCAGTAATTTTTAAATTTAACAACTGAATTATTATTATAAAAATTACAACAATTGAATTATCATTATTTAATATTATTTACTACAATTAAATAATTATATATATTGTATTATTTATTGGAAATTATTTTTATTATTGAGTATTAATTTATTGAGATTTCTACGCATTTAAGATTGAAATACCCATGGATAATTTTTGGTAAATTCGTTTTATATTGAGACAAATTATTTTTTAAGTACTTAAAAAAATTATTTATTTATTTATTTTTCTATTTTTTTAATTTATTTTATTGAAAAGGGAATTGATTCAAATATTTAAAATAAAAATTTTATTAGGGTAGAAGTACCGTTTGTAGCCACTGCACCATTTATGGCCATTTATCGTTTAAATAAACGATAGAAATGAATTTATATTAATAAACCATTCCAAACTCAATTTGTTTTAATATAAATTTTTTAAAACTCAACCATAATATGGTTATAATATTATAATTTTTTATAAATTAATTAAAATGTTAACTGGCCAAAAACCGTACTTCTACGCTATTTTTACAGAGTATACCAGACAAAATTCTAGACATATCGCAACTCCCGATTATACATGTGCGTCGGATGGATGTTGTAAGTCAAATTTAAAAAAATTTCAAAACTTGCATTTAAAAAAATTTTAAATTTTATATAAAAAAAAATATTTAATTTAAAAAAATTTCAATGTTTCAGGGAATACCTGTTTCGTTTGCGCTCTGCTTATCGCGTACAATGGCTCTTTGCGATGCTATATGGTCATTTTTGAAACAAGAAGCTCCAGAACTTGAGTGTAATTTGCAAGCGTGTGTTATGGATTATGAGCGCGCGCCCATGCATTCTACTAGACGAATGATGCCTCATGTTAATGTTCAGGAACGCTGGTTTCATAATACCCAGGTGAATATAAAAAATTATAATTAATAATAATTAAAACTAAATTTATTTTGTTAATTATTTATCTTTTATCTAGGTATTGACGTGCAAATGACGTGCTTTACGTATAAATCGTGGTGTTTCACACATTTTAAAATTGGTATGGGCCCTAGCACTCTTACCAGCAGAATGGCGTTTCCGAGAACGGTTTCAAGTCATTCGACAACAGGCTACAAGAACCCGTAATGAACTTGAACAATTGGTGGTGTTTTTGAATTACTAGGAGCGTTATTGGTTACTGTTAGCACCGGTAGTATCAGTGCGAAGTGCAGCAGTGCGTACCAATAATATTGCCGAATCGTTTCATCGTCAAGTTTCTCAACGACTCGATAGATCTCGTCCTAATTTGTTCGTTTTCTTGGATAACAATATTTTTTTTTTCTTTTCAATCTAGATACGAAAAAATTTTTTAAATTAAATTTTTCTTAATTTCAATATTTAAATACAAAATATATTTATCGTTTTTCTCTTGTCGTAGACCGATTAGGCATTTTAATGGAGCAGCAAAACCAAAGATGGACGCAACTAGATTTTGATCATGATATAGGAGGTCAACGACGTTCGATTCAAGCCTCTTATGACGCCCACATTCTTAGAGTACAAAGAGCATTAGACACGGGAAGGTAATGAGCTCTTTATTATTTATAATTCGTTATTTTCTCTTAATAATTATGTATGTTATTTTATATATTTCTTTGATTTGAATGTAACGTATAAATTTAAAAATTTGATTCTTTCAGATTTACAATGTTGTAATTTCTTCAAACGGTAATGCCGCGGCAACTTCGTGAAAACATTGAAGCTGATCCCGAGAGTCTTGATGGTAAATTATTGTTATTTCACAAAAAGTTGTATTAATACTTAATAATTAATGAATTCTCTTATGCTTAGATAATATAATTGACCTACTTGAAATTGGAGAGTTGATAAACCAACCACAACCAATTCTTGACGTACTCAATGATATACCAGATCCACAACCGCGCCGAGCTCGTCGCCGAGTACCCAGACCTGCTGCCCGAGGGATGAGGCGTACTGTAAGACCATTTCAACATGCTGAAGCGCATCGTATGGAGCACAATGTTGTGGGACAAATTGTACGAAGACCCCGAGGAAGATTACGTTGGCATCCTGTAGTTAATCAACTTGTCATCAATGGGAATGAAAATAAAGAAGATAACAACTTTGCAATGCCTGAACCTGATGCAATTGATGAAATAATTGACAATAGTAGCGATGCTGATACTGTCATAATTGTATCAAGTAATGACGAAGGTAAATACAATTACAATTAAAATTATATAAAATAATTCGCAAATTATTAAAAATACTTTAATTTATGCGGTAATAATATTTTAATTACAAAATTACCTTATTTAGATGTTGCCGGCGACTTAGCTGTTTTCAGAGACGAATTTATTGGCAGAGCTGATCTTCATCAGCAACAACAACCAGATAGAGTCGAACCAGTGGCTAATGTAGAACAAGAGCCTGTGATAGATTAAAATCAACAAGAATTTGATCATGTTGATATTTTTGCAAACGCTAATGGTAAATATAAAAATTATTTTATTATTCAAATTCATTGTAGTAAGGTTAATAGTCGTAGTTAGTTACAAAACACTGTAAATTTTTAACATAAATTTTAACAGAGAAAATAAAAGTGAAGAATGACCCGGTAGCTTAACTGGTAAAGCATTCCGACATGTTATCGAGAAGATCCAGGTTCGAGTACTGGCTTGGTTAATTTTTCACGAATTTTTGCACAGTTGCTTTCGCTCTCAGACGATTTTTCGTTTATTAACATCTTTATACCTCGAATAGATACTAACAACTTCCAGCTTACTAGTATTCTTGTTTGATGGAGTCCATCGACCTAACAACAAGAGACAATTCCCGTCTCGATTTTCAGCGAAGATGAAATGCTCCATCTCGACTTGAATTAGTTTAAAACTAGTCAAAAAATATTGATCGCATTGGTGATAAAACAAACTCATTTAATAAATTTTAACATTTATTTAACATAAATTAATGAATAAAATTAATATAAATAAATAAAATTAATATAATAAATAAAATTAATAAATTTTGAAATAAATTTAACATATTTTTTTTTTCACATGATTAATTTCTACAGATGATGAAAACAATATTCCTTTATACAACAATTCAGATAATGATGATGTGGAACCGGGATGATGTTGGTTACACTCCGGGTGTAA